GTGGGCGGGTCAGGAGAGGTCTGCCACGCCATGTGGCACCTCCGGGGCAGGCGGGGATCGAACTCGTGCAAAGTGACTTAAGCTTCTTAGTGCTGTGCTTTAACTGGCTGAGCCACCAGGGAGGGCCTCAAGCTTCAAAGTTTTAAGATACTTTCAGCACTGTCTAACTGCAGCAAATAGCTCCAGAATATCAATGAGACAGAACAGAAGAGATGTCTGCTCATATCACAGTTCACTATGGCTATTCTGAGAGTGGCCTCCTGTGTGGTGATTGAGCAACCCCAGCTCCTTCCGTGTTGCAGCTCTGGCTTCTGCTCTGCAGATCTCAGCCAGTGGATAGGAAAAAGGAGAGAGCGTGGAAGATTAGGTAAGGCAACATTTTCCTTATTTTCTTCAGTGCTCCATTTGCCAGAATTCAGTCATGTGGCCAAATTTAACTGAAAAGTAGGCTGAGGAAGAAACTTCCTTGTGTATTCAGAGCAGAAGGAAGCAAGTTGGCTGACCAACTAACCAGTATGCCACAGTCTGTCAGTTGTCATTTATGTAAGAGGACTCAGCCAAATATCTGGCATGTGGTAAAGTTTGATAACCATAAACCATTGTTTTTAGCAGTTCAAGCATAGTTCTCTGAAAATAGAGCTCAAGTTCATCTCTGAATATCACATGTGCCCTGTCCCCAAATAGAACTTTTAAAGAAATTTTAAATGGTGAAACAGATCTCTAAGGAGTAAGCTATTTAATTATGTATTATTTTCCTAAGGCATATTGGCACTAACAGTAGGCAGAATCTTATGGCATTGAGCTGTGAGCTCCCTTTATTGTCCTTGAGTCTTCAAAACCAAATAAACATTTATGAAAGTATCATGATAGAAAAAAAAAAAAGGATCAGATGCTGCTAATGACAATATTGAGATTTGTGTAAACAAGCAGCCGTCCTCCTTTGAGTACTCAATATAGAAGTAGAAATGAAATATGAGATGCATGGCCAGGCCTGTAAGTATAAAAGCAGGAACTGGTGCAAATACTCATCTGGTCTGGTAGGTTAAAATTACTTTCTGCTATATATTTGGTAAGGTGCATATTAAAAAAGTATTACAGTGCCTCATTATATGTTCTTTTTATTGGTCTATGCTAGAGAGTGGATGAATCACAGTGAGATTTATGTTCCTATAGAAGAAAATGAAAGAGTATGAGCAAATATTCCTGAGATGGAGATTGCACCAGTATGTGTCTCCAGTCTTGAGAACAAAGATACCATCTGAGAGAGGTTTTTTTTTTTCCTCAGGGGTCCCTGATGGGTTAGAGTTATATGCAAGATCTATAATATGTAATATGTACATTATTTGGGGGAGAAGTTCTTTAATATTCATCAGTTTTACCTTTCTTGTAAGAACAGCTTAGAATAAGGAAGCATGACTCTCTTTTAACGTAGCTTCAGCTCTAGCCTCGTATAAAGCAAACAGATGCTCCCCCAGCCTCTTTCAGAAGCCTCTGATGTTTACCTCACAGGAATCCTAGCCATCCTAGGCCATGTTCTGGCTCATGGATTTCTGAAGGCAATGTTTTGGGTGAATTTTCTGCCAATTAAACTTAAATAGTTTAACATAAGAGTATGTCTGTGTCTTTAGATGAATGTTATCAGACATATTTTTTAAATTCCACATTACTAAGAACTTAATAAATCTGATATACTGAGCATTTCCTTAGGCCTGGATATAATTTTCTAGAAACACACGTACATGCACAAGCAAACACACATCCAGGGTAACTACTTTTCTAACTTTATTGTCAGAAACTGAACCAAATTATGAAACTCCCCTTGAAGAAATGCTTCCCAACAGTATTTTTCACCCTGCCCCCTAGCAAGAAGCATATGATAACATATGTCCTCTTGCTTAAACAAGTCCTACTAAAGTCTTAAATATTATATTTTCAGTGGTTATTGGCATAATATTGTCTTATGTTTTATGTTATCAAGAACATTTTATATGAGGTGTTTACTTTGTGCCTCAGAATAAAATCGAGAGAGATCCAGAAATATATGACAGTACTAAAAGAGTACATAGAAACCTAGACATCTAACCATTAATAGGTCAAGAGCTAAAGAGCTGGAGAAAAAGGAAAAACTGCAAGATGACTGTTTCACTCTCTGCTGCTGCATAACAGGATTTAAAACATGGAATTTTTATTTTATTTTTTGCTCACAATTCTGTGGTCAAAAATTTGGGGTGAGTTCATGTGCTTTATCTGCAATGGTCTGAGTAGGATTGGAAGATCAAAGATGGCTTCACTGCAAGTGTCTGGTACTTAATACAAACTCTTGGCTGGAATACCTTGATCCTTTTCCGTGTGATCTCTTTATCTCGCTGCCTGTTGTCTCTCATAATTCAGTGTCTATACAAAAATTCTGAGAAAGCCAGCAGCAAGAAAGCCTGTTAAGAATTAGGTTTGTAACAGGCAGAGTGTCCTTTTATCACATTCAGTTGGTCAGAGCAAGTCACAATTCCAACCAAATTAAAGGGGTGGGAAAGAGAACCCCCACTCCCAGATGGGGGGGGGATCAGTACACATAATGACATGGGAAGAGCTTGGCACTGCCATTTTGTAGGAATAATTCCTTACTCCTCAACCCAAGCAGGTTAGCATGTAGTTTACCTGTGGAGAAAGCTTTGTTTGCTTAATAGTGGCTTGTGTCAAACACAGGTGATGCCTCTGGATTTCTAATAGAAACTGCTCTTCTATTTCTCCTCAACATTGCCACTCCTTACAC